GAATACCTTGAAGTAGGATTATATTTGATAAAAAACACAGCCAGTAAATGGGTTTTTAAACTTTAAAGCATCAAACCCTATAGAAAAAGCAGAATATAGGGCAGCGGTTAAATATGCAAAGGTTGTAACGTCTTTGTCCCCTGAATAATTAGTTCAGAAATTCACCACCTGCTCCCACCTGTGCTCTTTTATAATGACCTTCTCTGGAAGAAGAAAAAAAACACAGTTGTGCTACTCTGCTCATTTTTACTTTCTCCATTTTATATGGAATGGACTTTGTAAAGCTTGACCAAGAACCTAAAACTTTGTCAATAAATCAGTCCCCCTATGATTATAAGTAAGAAATAAGGACAATCCAAAAGTAAACGAATGCTGTTTCTACTGCTCAAACGTTACCACAAACTACTGCATCTTGGAAGTCATATTTTTCTATATAGCACCTTTTACAGACAAAGTCACAAAGCACTTTTCAATTGCATTTTCCATTCACTCCATACATAGGCCTTAACATAAAGCAACATAGCCTAACACCAGAGACACATGTCCGACCCTTAAGCCACCAACCATTCACTCATACATACATTTAGACCTAGTGTGCGTCGTGCAAAGAGAAAGAGAGAAAGAGAAAGCCCCCGTATTGAATGCAGGACCTTCTTGCTGTGAAGTTCCAACCGCTGCGCCAACATGATTGCTGATTATTGTTGCGTCTTAACACACATCCCCTTTTTTCTTCCGTACACACGCATTCTTTGCTCTCCATCCTCCCAAATGTCAAATCAGCGTCTCTCTCTCTCTCTGCATTCTCATCTCACCCCCGCATATACTGTAGCTATACTTTTACCCCGTGTGTGTGTGCATATTTGACTCTGTGGGACCCTAACCTCCCCCCGTTTTATCAGCATCATCAGTCAGGGTCTTGCTTTCATCTTCACTCCCAGACAGAAGCTTTTATAGGTGCAGCCTGTCACAAATGACCAATAAGTTTGTATTTGTGTGTAAGTGTGTCTGTTTGTGTGTGTGGGGTCGGCCATGTTTTTTCCTGAGGTCATTATCACTGTCATTTTGTCAGCGGCTGTCACATTATGGCGCTGCCCGGGTTATCCACAGGTGTAGAGTTTGTTTAAGGCACTGAGGAATGGATCACCTCTAGCACTCTGGAGCCATCAGACTTGGCTGTTGAGTTGTCTCCATCAAATAGAGGGATGGAAGGAGAGATGGAGACCAGGGGAGGAGGGGAATGAGGGGGAACAGGCGAGGGCATGAGGCAGGTACACAGCGTCAGATGGAGGGGGATTTGTTGCGCCTCCGAGCTGTATCGCTGCGAGTCCGACAGATGGTGAGCTGAAAAGTGTCATCCGGCTCCAGCGACAAATAACTTTTTAACTGTTTAACTGTGTGTGATTTTATGAACAGCCCAATACCCACAACGCTGCTCTTTTTGGAAATACAAATGCTAAGATTTAGCTGTGAAACGTGTTGTCAAAACGGCTTTGAATTTTACAGACACTAGTCCTGCTTTATCTTTGAAGTGGTTCAATTTGAACGAGCAGAACAGGTGTTCTGTGTGTAACTGGCACTGAAGTGTGTAACTAGGCACTGACCAATTTGGTTTTACCGATTCCGATTTTTCTGCAGATTCTGCTAAGATTACCAAATTATAAAAGAATATAAAAAAAAAAAAAAAAAAAAAAAAAAATGGTGCAGTGGTTAGCACTTGTATTTCACAGCAAGAAGGTTCTGGGTTTGATTACACCTCCAGATTTTTCTGTGCTGAGTTTTCATGTTCCTGTGTGCAGTGAATAGAAATTACTGTTACAACAAAATTGTAGAGCACATTGTATGACCTTTGCCTGTGAATGTATGCGCTTTGTAAACATCTTTGATACATATATTACAAGTAGATTATGTCAAACTCTGAAGCAGAATATTCACTAGCCTACATAAATAACAAATATTAATTGTAAACTCTCATCCGGACATTGGCCCCCAGGCGCTACTGGAGCCGGGCAGAACGTGTCAATGTTTTGTCAGCAAAAAATGACATCTCAGTCCATTATGCTCCTGGACTGGTCTTTGGATTATAGAATGTTTAAACGTTGTCATTCGTATAATATACAATAGCAAAAATTCTGAATACCCTCAAGTTGTGTTGACTTAATTTCTTTTCTATCTTAAGTGCTTTAGTCAGACATAGTCATCAAAGACTTCCTACGTGTATTTGTGGCAACATCCAAGAGAATTTGACAACACAACAGCGCTCACCTTTTTCTCAGAGACCTATTTTCTCTGCTTTCTATTCCCTCTTTTCATCCTCTACCAATGACCATTTGTCATTTACCCGTTCGTGGACTCCTTGTCTCATAACGCTTTACTTTATTTCTACCCAGAGTCTCTCAGACAAAGAGGTTGTTTATCTCCTCTTCATCACAGTAAACATAGTGCAAAATGAATATCTAACACTCCACATTTGGCAGACGGCTGATCGATATCTGCAGACTAGAGCGCTCACGTTAGCTCTACTGTTGATGATTGGGAGGGGTTAAAGAAGCGCTGTGATTTAGTGAGACTACGACATGTTCGCTGCAGTGTCCGCCCTTGGGCTGTCTGTGTGGCCTGTACAGGAAGATTCACTGCTTTTTGTTCCCACTCTGATTTATGATATGACCTCTGCATATGTGCTCACTATGTCTTTACCACCGATTGTTATATGCCACCTTGTAATTACAGCTTAAGCAGTTACTTCCTGGTCACGTTTAAGACTTAATTACGATCATTGAGGAAAAATAAACTTCCTAATGAAAAGGGAAGACAAACTATAATCACTTTTAATGTTTTTATTAGTAAAGATAAGGTAAAGGTATAGGTGAAGATGATGTGGATTTGGACAAAGGAAATCTGGCGTTATTTTTGGGAGACTTATTTGAAGGGGACTTGAGCGGAAAAGCAGTAGGAGAGAGAGGGATGTGAGTGCATGGCCTTGTTTGTCTGTTTGTCTGCTTCTGCTCTGGTTCAACTGTAAAAATAGTGTGTGCGTCCTGTCATTTTTTGTGTTTTTCTGCTGTTTTGGGCAGAATTGATAGTCAGTTGGTGTTGCCATTGTTTATCTCGATTCTAAAACTTTGTATCCTGACACTGTGTACAACCAGACAATGTTTGAAAGACTTCAACTGAAGTCAAGTCTTGTGTTTCTGAGATCCACAGATTAGAACCCTGTGTCCAGTATGAAATGAATGTAACTGTTGTCTGATGCGTAATTTTATGTTCTCAGCAATGTATCGGTATACCTTGCTATTATGGTCATACGATAGATGTCCAGAGGTCTTGTACCTAAGCATTCATTCATTTTCTATCACTTTTTTAGTCAATTTCTGGGCCAATGCTCCACCAGTCCCTCGCTAATCCTCGTACAGAAGGTGGGTCCACAGGAAGAAGGCTGCTCTGTCGACAGCGACAGCAGACATGAGTGGGAGCAGTTGGAGTAGGTTGGATGAGCGGTCCAAATGATTAAAGTAGTTGAGACCAACCATTATATCCTGCAAAGTTTTAGTTTTGCAAATGTGCCTAAATTCTAAATAGGTATGTTTCTTTGGCTGCAGGTTTGTGCAACATTATAGGTGAATGAATTTGGCAAAAAAATAAATAAACAATGCTTGTCCTAAAGGTTCACTTAGCAATGTTCAAACACTAGACAGCGAGTATTGCAAGGTTCTTGACAGTATTTCTCTCTCAAAAACGCAATTATGTTTCTCCAGACATAAAAACTTCCTACTTTCAACGCTGGTTTGGTGGTTAGATCCTCTCAAAAGCTGATAAATCATAAGAGACACAGTTTCCACAAAAGTTAATTTTCAAGCCAGACATAGCTACACAATGTAACTATTTAGTGCAATGCAACAGCAACTATCTTATGTAACTCTTGCTTAAAGTAATTCTTTGACAACAAAAATACTAGTGCTTCTTGGCTGAATTCCATTCAGGTTACTATGGAAACAACCCAGTGTGAGCCGGGGTTTAAAGCTGTATTTATGCTGTCACATCAATACGTGATGGTATTGTATCCTGTTAATGCAAACATCAAAGCACCCAAGAGTCCCACCTGGATGTGAAGTGACGCTCCTGTTTATAGCCACAGGTGTCAAGTTTAATTACTGTAAATTAAGCCACTTTTCTGTACATTTTTAACATTACATTTTAGGGTCAATAACAGTAAAAAAATAGGATTATTAAAACATCACAAAAACCCAAAAGAGTGACATTTTTTATGTTAACATATATTAAACATAAAATATAACTAAAGTGTGTCGTTAATATCTGCCATCATTTTGTGAAGTAAAAGAAAGACAGTAACTAGGGGATGTTTAAAAGATAAATGTACTAACTAATGGAAATTACCCTACTGAGACAACTAAAGGACATTTTATCTTATCTTATCTTAAATATGAATGACAGTATTTTATCAAGTGGTATTTACAGGTCCTCAAAACATTCAGTAAGTTCTGCCCAAAAGTCTTGACCCTCTTTGCTGAATAACTAATTTGAAATGAATAATTGGATGAATCAAATCACGCAATAACATCATATCTCGCTTTGTATCCTCTATACTATGTAGTTTCATCTTCTGTTTTAACTAGTTGCATAAATATCAGAAAGCAATGCCAATTTTTGCATGAATTACAAAATACATTATCATCACTAATAAGTAAAACCAGATTTTCTGATCCACAGTGCATCAAGAAGGAACAAAAGAGTTACCTTAAAGTCAAGACAAAGGCACGGCGGCGGTGTCATCCCAAACTTGACAGAGCTCATTCATTATGCATGTCTAATGGAATAGTTAATGTGACTGTTGTAGCGCGTCACCCTGTCTGGCTCTGTCTGCTCCTTTGGACTCATTCATACTGCATGTCCAGAGGTACCACTCAATCAGGCCGTGCTATTTACAGCTGCCAAACGCTGAGAAATCTAATTGTTGGAGGTTAAATATTTAATGAGCTCTTTTGATGAAGATTAGTTTTGCGGACCTCTGCAAACTGCCTCCAAACAGCTGCTGTGAGTTGAATCGCTTACGGCTTTAACCCCTTAAGTTAAAAAGTCAGAAAATCCTTTGGAGCACAAACAAATGGCTGGACTCCTACTGTGTGTAAGGGAACGTCACGCATGTCCTTCCTTCCTGCTGTCAGACTGTACAACGAGTACTGCTGACCCTGTACAGGTGCCATTCACCTGTACTGACAATTTACAAGTCACTTTTACCCGCTACAAGTATTCACTGTGGTCATTACCTATGCTCCTAATGTGCAATACTAACAAGTCAGTCACTCAAACACACACACACACACACACACACACACACACACACACACACACACATCACACATGGCACAAATCATCACATAAAACAAACCCCATGAACCCTCGCTATTAGCTATAGCAGGGGTCCCCAATGAAATTGGCAGAAGGTCCACTTACTTGATCAGTTCAATAGATCAGGATCCGGACATCATACAAATGTTTAATTATTTGAAAACCTTAAACAACAACGACTACAGTAGGATTATTATTTTTTATTTGAAAAAATAAATCTAAATATAGGTGTGTATAATTCACATAACATTAATCTATTTTGTTTATTTCTACACAACACACCACAAACCTCTCCCAAACTCTCAGAGCAGAGGGTGCAACACATGATAATTGTGGAGGATAAGGTGATCTTTTGTTGTCGAAGTGCTTTTTTCCATCAAGTAACGTTTTTTCCATCGCCTCCGCACACTCTGACCACAACAAAGCTTTTTATGCCCAAAATCCACAGCACTGCAGTGAGCACTAAAGTAGGGCATACGCTGTTTGCTAATACTTTTAATATGTTTTTGATGTGTACCTCTGTCTCCTCCTCCTCCTCCTCCCCCGCTCATACACAAAAGTCTGTCAATTTGGACGCAACCAGTGTGAGCAGCTGAACGCGAGCGTCCATCGCTCCGTACACAGCTCCGTATAGTTTTCTCTGAAGGACCCCGCTCCCCATATAGCCGCCCTCGCGCCTGCCTGATTTGACACATAATTGTAATAATGTACTTTTGGACAAAAAAATCACGGGGGTCCAGAGAAAAGGGTCTTGGGGTCTGGACCTGGACCGCGGTCTGCCATTTGGGGACCCCTGAACTATAGTGTGTACTCAGCTAAGTTTATTGATGATTTTATGTTAAGATTGAGAGATGGGAGTTATTGTACACTTTCTATTTATTTTTGTTGAAACATAGAACTTATCTTTTATCTTGTTTCCGGTGTGCTCCTATGTCTACTGTCCTGTATGAGCACAGTAATTACATTTCCCTACTGTGGGAAGAATACAGGTCCTCTTAATATATAATCTTCTTCTTACAAGCTTCTTACAATACATTACCTTTGTGCGTTGTCATTATACCTAATTTAAACTTTAGTTAATTAGAAAGTCCCTTCTTTCCTTTTGAAATGTCAATGATGGAGTATGTTTTTTTCCCAACCTTGGTGAATTAGTCACATGCTAATCAAATGAGAGGCACATGTCTGAAAACAAGTTTGCAATTTGAAGCATGACTGGTGCCGTGAGGGATGCCTGACCAGGTCCAGATCAGACCTAGGCAAGATGCCATGGATTTGGGAAACAGCCCATGTTTTAAACGTAGTCACTCGTTTGGGTTGCCAGTTTCAAAGGTGAAGCTGAACCCAAAACGCCAAAACCTGCAGCCAATTCAGTCCAAAATGCAGCAGTAGTGTCATGGTTTAAGTTTATTTCCTGTTTTATTTTGAAATGTGTTATCCCTGTGTCTTCTTTGGTTGTACTTCCTGTTGTCTGATTACCTGCCCTGCCCTTATCTGTCTCACCTGTGTCTCGTTAGTCTTGTATTTAGCCCTGTGTGTTCCTTCACTCCCTGTTCCGTCTTTGTCATTCCTCGTCTGTTTTAGTTCGGTCCTCGTTCCCTGTGTTTTTGGAAGTTTTGGTGTTTGCTTTTTATTAAATCCATTATTTGTTGCAGTTTTGCATTTTGGGTCTCATTTAATTTCACCCTCGTGACAAGTAGCACTATATTTTCTCTCTTTTAATTTATTCATGTGTTTTGACGGTCTCATTTTAACTTGTGAAGCACCTTGTGAGTCCATCTCGGTGAAGGTCGCTCTATAAATATAGCTAATTTCTTACGCTATATTGTAATTGTATGATTGTAGTAATTATAATTATCTATACAGTAAAAGCGCCGGCTACATTAGATTAAAGACACATTACAGCTCTGACTTGGGGAATGGCAAAGGGAATGACCTATACAGAATTTTATGAAGACTTCTGTGATTTACAAAGTGTTGATAATTGACTTTGCTCCTCTCCCTTTCAGGTGCCATTTTTGATGAGTCTGCACGTAAGGATGATGAGGTGTTCCGGCTTGCTGTTGCTGACCTCAACTTGAACAACGAGATTTTGGAGACGGAGAAAGTGACCATCTCTGTTGAGTTTGTGGATGGGAACAACCCTTTCCAGGCCGTACAAGAAGGTTAGACAACCCACTTTTCCACTTGTTTTGCTATGCATTGTACTCTGATGTTTTTCTTTTTCCAATGCACAACATTTCCGATTCAATATGACACTATATTGGGCAATAGTTCTATTTCAAATGAATTCCTAGTGCTCAGCCAATACGGAGCAGAAAAAAAAGAAACTATTTATAACATCACCATTGTTCATTTCATACTGTTGCTTTGTTAGGCACTGCAAATTGTACAATATTTGCAGCGGCTCCGGGCCACACTGTACCATATTGTTATCTGGCACAAGTAATTCACGGGAGAGCGAAAAGCCTGTAGGAAATATGAGTGGGAGCGTTTTTGTCTCACTGCCTATACTCAACATGTTACAATGGTTATAATGTTTGTGTGGTTGAAATGTTGACATGTCATAGTGGCCATACGTGCTTTTTCAAATCCTCATTTCAGAAGCTAAGCATGTCAGGGCCTGGTCTGTTTCTGGATGGGAGATGCACTGCTGTTGTGTTGTTTGAAAAGACATTTCTCTGACATTACACAACATAAATTGGGTGTTTGCATGAATAATTGGTGACACAATCATCAGTACTGCGTTTATCGATAAAAGTTGGGGATCTGTAGCTCATTTTTATAGTAATTATTAAACTATTGGAACTCTCAGGGCCGTCATTTTGAATGCTCCCATGCAAACCCATCGATTTTCGAGAAATCCACCCAGAAAAGTTCAACATGCTAACTTCTGGAAAGTATAAAGTGTGTTGCTACGGGAACTAGGGCAACTACTCATGTTTCAAAAATAATTTCTTAAAATAATGGTGTAGAAATAAACTGCAAAGTTTTGAAGACCATCATGTATGGGTCGGGGTGGTGGCAATCAGAGCTGCCACCCAAGTCTCAATGCACCAGTCCCTCGCTGATCCTCTGCAGGTGGTGAGTCCACAGGATGATGACTTCTCCGTGAGCGAAGACAGCGGGGGCTTCAGGCAATGTGGGGTTAAGTGTCTTGCCCAGGGACACAATGACAGCAGACATCAGTGGGAGCTGATGACATGGGTCGTGGTGGGCTTGAAAGATTACTTACTTACTTACTTAATTACAAAGATCAAGGCAGTCAAATTGAGTTTTAGTGTTAAGGGATAAACATCAAAATAAAACAATTTCAATATTAGAAAGAAAGGGGGGAAATCACTAGAAACTTGCTCCATGACCTGACTATGAATGTACTTCTACCACCATGTTACTGCAGGCCTCCACACGGTAACAGCACAAGACAGGCTGCGGAGACCTGCAGAGCTATAGGTGTGCCATGTCTGCAATGATCAACCTAATGAATGTCACCAGATTGAATAAGTGTGCACGGGAGGGCAGGGCAGGCCAGGGAGAAGCAGGGAGAGCGATCACTGGTTGTCAAGACTTATATTTATTTTGAGCTTTGGTCAGACAAAAGGGCCTGATGCTTTCGCACTCCCAATTACTAGTTGGAGTATTTGGTGTGTTGAAGTTTATTCTAAAGGAATTCCTCTCAAGAGCAGTGCTCTGAATATAATCCAGCAGTTTCGTACCAACACAAATGGATAACAATGGGTTATTTTTCAGGGGAATAGGTCATTCCTGGTGGGTCTGCAACTGCCCTGTCCACAAAGGTACAACAATTGATTAGGCAATAGAGTCATGTTTTTTTCATAATTAATTAATTCATTCAAACTGAAATTGTTGTATTCATAAGTAACGCACATCCGTGTATGCATATATTTATACAAACATATACAGACTTACAAGCATGTTTTAACAGTTTTACTATGTGGCAATAATATATACTTTAAATATATTTAAAACTTTATTTACAATTTATCAGCTCCAAATGGAGTCAGAGGAAGAAAACATAGCATGTTGTCATCTTGGTTTTAAGTGAAAAAATAAAAATTCCAGAACATAAACTATACAATGGGCATGTTATCTAGTTTTCATGTTAACATTTAAAAAACTTACTTAAGCCTGCAATCTGAATCTGGCAACACAGGTGTGTGCTGAGTGTAATAGGAAAGATAACATCAGAAATACATAGATCCCTGAAAACATCAAGGGGAACTTAATGTCACTATTTGACATGAAGGAAGACAACTGTCCACTGGCTCTTTTAGGCCACTGCCATAAACACAGGCATAAACACAGGCATAAACACAGGCATAAACACAGGGTGTAGAGTAGCTGTGATCGGGACTCATTCGGGATTTGACAAACAACAAATGAGGACCTCAGGACAGGTTTTGTGCTGCAGTTTGTCAGTGCATATGATGACTCAAGGTGAGTTGTATTGTCATTCAATTCAGATATAATAATCCTGTACTATAAATGATAAACTATGTTTTTACAGATAATAGCCTCTAATGAGTAATACACTTTATTGTATGATTGTTGAGGTCGCTCAGCTAAATCAGGGAACTTTTGCTTGAGTTAATTTGGAGATTTGTAAAATGTATTCTGGATTAAAATATGTTCTTTGATTGACAAAAAAGAAACATTTGTCATAATATCTCTGCCTGAGATGATTGCATAAATGCTTTACTGGTTATATCTACAGCAACACAAAATCCTCAGTAAGAGCAGGTTGTTGGAGGAAATGTTGTGAATATGAGTTAAGTTTCAGATGTCTGTCTTGTTCATAGGAAATTTAAAAATAGAAAATTAACAATATGAAACTTTATTTTAACAGAACTATTACATACATGAGCTCCTTATGTGTTATTTTTTACTATTTCTGTTATAGACTCTTCGAAAGTGTTGTCTTTTGTCGTTAACTCTATAGTATTAATACAAGTTAATTGCTTGATACAGATCGACTGATGGTGACTGTTTTCCTGTAAAATGCAGCCGCTCGATGTCACTTACTGGCACTCGCTTATTTTATTATCTGCTACCTCAAAACACAAATGAAGAACAAAACAAAAATTGGAGCTTGTCCAAAAGCTTTACGCCCAATTGAGCTTTAGATCGACTCTGAGCACCAATTATCTCTGCCCTGTTAAGCTTTGCATCTTACAACGTCAAACTTAATCTGAGAGGATTTTCCACCGTACCACCAAATGTAGTTTATTTTTTAATCTTCCTTAAAAGTGTAGCTAATAAACATACCTAGAGCTACAATAGAACCCCGAAAAGAGGCAAAGCAGTTAAACTGACATGATGAAGATAATCAATTATAACAAATATATGGTTTTTCAAAACTTGTAACCCAAATGATAGATTAGATTACTACCTAAAGCATAGATAGATAGATATGTAGAATTGGACTCTAAATAGTCTGCCTCGGCATTGTCCATGTTTCAACAAAGGATTTTTAAAAGTACTTGGACTTCTATTTATGACTGCACTATTCACTGTTGAACTGTGTATTTCAACCTGCAAGTCAGTTAGATCTCTTTCTCTATTTTATGGCATGCATTCATATGTCTAAAATAAACACACTGTTTGATTATCGTTATCATGTTCATCTTCTTGCATTTATACATTTTTTTTTATCTTCATCTGTCTTTAATGAATTGTCCAACCTTTGTCCAGCACTTTGGAATTCCTCCGCTGTTGTAAGAAAATTGGAACAAATTAAGGGAGTAATTGAAAACGTGTTTGAATCTGAAATACATCTGTTAAATACATACAAAAAAACAGTTTAAAAAGAAATACTGAAGAAATATATGAAGGAAGGAGAGTGACCATTGGTGTTAGTGTGTGTGTGTGTGTGTGTGTGTGTGTCATAATGCTGTCATGTGTAGTGTTGAAGGGTATTGTATGGTATTGATTCTTGTTTTTTATTGTATTGTAGTATGTGTCTGAATGAATGAATGGCTTTTTTTTCATCCAAATCATGTACCCTGTGTTTTGTTATCATTTTCTGTGGTTACATGTGTGTATATCTGGTGAATAAATGAAAAAATAATGCTATATAAACAACATTGATATAATTCTGCTATTGATCTCAAGTGTTCTATTGAAGTTGCCTTTTCCCTAGATGTTTAAGGTTGGTACATTGTGTTTTGTGGTAGGACATCGGTTGCAGATGCGACCATGCATGAGGAGTTTTCTGAATGTTGAAGTCACCATCCATAAATCAAAAATGTTCAAGAATGAAGCAAACCTTTCCTGATCATTTGTTTGCCTTTGGAAAGGATAAATGTTCGTCTGTTTGTCTGAACGTTTTGTCACAGAGCTCAGACATTCAGCTTAAATAGACAAATCACCTGGTCTCCCCCTCTCCTCTAGGGTTGAAAAGCTGCTTTGAACCCAACTACCTGAATTATTTTTCTGACAAACACTGCAGATCTTACAGGAAGTTACCACGGCAATGCCAAGGGCTTTGGTCAAAGCCAGACAGTTCTTCATAAAACAAAACAAGCAGATATAAGCGCACATATAAACTGCAGAACACAAATCTCAAAATTCTCATATGCACATCTTGGGCTGTGTTAAAAGTAATTAAAATCAGTCATATGCACAGCTAAACTAAACTGTTTACAGTAGAGTTTTAACTGCCAGAGTTGGGACCTTTCTCACATCCCTATAGGAAGACCCCCGGCTGGTTTCGGATCACAAAGTACATTCTTGGCTCTCCCGTTCGGTTTCCCGTCTGCAGAATATTGAAGAACTTTACTGCCATAGAAACCAGGGTCAATATCCTTTAGTTATGGTTCATTCCTCTTCTTCCCGTCTTCCCCTCTCTCATCCCTCCATCTGCCCTGTCCTGAGGCAAGTGCCGGTCTTGTTAGAAGCCTTTTAGTGACCATAGACATCTCATTTCTACCACTGTCCTCCGATCACTCACACGAGCTCTTCCCATTTGCCCATTCAATTAAGGAACATCATCCATGCAGAAATGACAGAGTATTTGAAATCAATAACATTTGCTGATTTTAAGTCTGGATTCTCAATCAAATATAGAAAGAAAAATCTCTAATTGTGTTGATTACATGAAGAGACAGATTGTGGAGAAGCACTGAATGGTAATGGGCTCATTTTCATACT